GGGTGAGCCACCACACCTGGCCATAATAAAAACTATTAATAAGATAGTTAACAACCATTTCACTTAATAATAATAAACTCATTACACATAGGGTACACATCTCTTTTTAAATGAAAAATAACAAATTTTAACTTTTATTTTAAAGTTGGGGTACATGTGCAGGATGTGCAGGTTTGTTACATATGTAAACATGTATCACAGGGGTTTGCTGTACAGATTATTTCATCACTGAGGTATTAAGCCTGGCATCCATTAGTTGTGTGTGTGTGTGTGTGTGTGTGTGTGTGTGTGTGTGTGTGTGTATTTGAGACAGAGTCTTGTTCTGTCTCTCAGGATGAAGTGCAGTGGCCGGATCTCAGCTCACTGCAAGCTCCATCTCCCGGGTCACTTTCTCCTGCCTCAGCCTCCTCGTGTTTAGGACTACAGTGCCCACCACCACACCCGGCTAGTTTTTGTATTTTTAGTAGAGACAGGGTTTCACCGTGTTAGCCAGGGCAGTCTCGATCTCGTCTCATGATCACCTGCCTGGCCTCCCAAAGTGCTGGGATTACAGGCACCGAGCCACGCGCCTGGCCTTTTTATTTTTAGACAGACTCTGCGCTCTGTCACTCAGCTGAGCTGGAGTGCAGTGGTGTGATCTCAACCACTACAGCCTCCGCCTCCCAGGTTCAAGTTATTTCTCCTGCCTCAGCCTCCCAAGTAAAGCTGGGATGACAGGTGCAGACCACCATGTCAGCTAATTTTATATTTTTAGTAGAGACGGGGTTTCACCATGTTGGCCAGGCTGCTCTTAGAAGCTCCTGACCTTGTGATCTGCCCGTCTCAGCTCCCAAAGTGCTGGTTACAGGCTTTGGAGCCACTGCGCCTGGCCTAGTTATTTTTATTTTCTAGAACAAACAAAGTATGTATAGTAAGAAGAGTGAGGTATTGTTTTTGGATCTCCTTGGTGTTTGCCTTAATAGAAGATTCTCACTAGATTAATTTGCTTATTCAAGGACTGAATGTTAGTTCTCAAATTCACATGTTGAAGTACTAACACTTAATATGATCAGGTATTAACGGGTAGAGGGCTTTTGGGAGGTAAATCATGGGGTTCAGACCATAATAGAGGCAGGATTCAGTAATATACAAAAGTGACCCTGGAGGCTCTCACAGCCTGCTGCCACTTTTACAAAGGATGCCACAAGAAGTCAAGTCATAGCCTGAAAAAAGCCCTGCAGAATCTGACCTTGCTGACATCTGTGCCATTTCATAATATAAAGACTGTACAATATAAACTACCAATGTTTACCTGAAGCTACTAGTCTACAGTACTTTATTTGACCCACTAGACTAGATCATATGCTTTTGCATTCTCTCTTCAATTGTCAGATGTCATTAGACTCAGAAAGAGCCTACTGTACATTCACTAAGGAGGCAAAATTAGAAATACAGTGTGCCTTAAGTATTAATATTAAATTGTTTGATGTGCTTGGATTCCCATATCTGCACAGGATCCCCAAGATTCCTGATGGCATTTTGAGAACTCATACATTTCCTACGGAAGAACCTCTATACATTCCTACCATAAACCTCTCTCACTCTACCACTGAAAAGAACATCTACTTGTTCCACTGAAAAACAACTCCTATACATTCCATCCACTGAAGAACCTCTACTCACACTTGGTGTCCATGTTGTTTGAGCCTCCGTAGAACCATGTCCTATGCATTCACACAGAACACTCTATACACTCTACCACTGAGCCTCTGTCCATTCTGCACTGAAGGAACTCTCTATCGTTCCTCCTTAAGAATACTCTGCATTATCCACTGAAGACCTCTATACATTCCTCCATGGAACTATCTATACGTTTCTACCCGCAGAAAAACAATAACGTTTCCTCCACTGAAGAGACACTCTATACACTCTACCACTTAGAATGCTCTATACGTTTCCCTCCACATAAAGACACTCTGTCATTTCTGCTGAAGAGACACTCTATACATCTCACCACTAGAGAACACTCTGTAAGTTTCTACCACTAGAGGCTCTCATACATTCCTCCTTCAAGACACTCTATACATTTATCACTAGAAGGAACTATCTATACGTTTCCCCTCACTTAAGGTGCTCTATACATTCTACCACTGAGACACTCTATCATTCCATAAACCTCATACATTCCTTCACTGGAACAACTCTCCTATCTACACTGAAGAGCCTCTATACATTCCATAAGAAGGAACTCTATATGTTCTATACTGAGAATAACTCTCTTGTTTATCACTGAAGAACTCTATTCTACCATCAGAGAACACTCTATACGTTCCACCACTGGAAGACACTCTATCTGATTCTACACTGAGAACAGCTCTATCGTTTCCTCCACTGAAAGACAACTCTATACATTCCATCACTGAAGACCTTTTTATGTATTTGTGCATATACACTCTGCCATGAGGACAGCTCTATACATCTACCACTGAGAGAACAGCCAACTCTATACACTCTACCACCTGAAGAACAGCTCTATACGTTCTCCACTGAAGAACAACTCTACATTCCTCCACTGAAGAACCTCTACCATCTGCCACTGAAGAACCTCTATACATTCCTCCACTGAAGAACCTCTACATTCCATCCACTGAAAGACATCTACATATCCACCTGAAGAACCTCTACCTCCTCCATGAAGACACTCCTGAACTTCCTCCACTGAAGAACAACTCTACACATTCCACACTGAAAAGAACCAACTCTACATTCCACTGAAGACCCTTCTCTTCCATTCCACCACTGAAGAACACTCTACCATTCCACCTGAAGAACCACTCATGATTCCACCACACAGAACACTCTCCATTCCACACTGAAAGAACACTCCTATACATTCCACCACTGAAGAGCACTCCTATCGTTCTTCCATGAAGAACAACATTCGTTCTACGCAGACACTCTATCATTCCTCCACTGAAAGACACTCTATATACATTTCCTCCATAGAAGACACTCTATACATTCCTCCACGAAGAACCTCTATACGTTTCCACCACGAAGAACACTCTATACATTTCCTCCACGAGACACTCTATAATTTCCTCCACGAAGGACACTCTCCCATTCCTCCACACAAAGAAGGACACTCTATACACTCTCTGCTGAAGAACACTCTATACATTCCTCCACTGAAGAACACTCTATACACTCTACCACTCAGAAAAGACACTCTATACATTTCTCACCGAAGAACCTCTATACATTCCTCCACCGAAGAGCCTCTATACATTCCCTCCACCGAAAGACACTATACATTCCTCCACCGAAGAACCTCTATACATCTACCATAGAAGAACCTCTCTTTCACATTCCACCACCGAAACCTCTCATTCCACCACCCCGAAGAGCCTCTATACATTCCTCCACGAAGAACACTCTATACATTCCACCACCGAAGAACCTCTCATTCCACCACGAAGAACCTCTATACATTTCCTCCACTGAAGAGAACCTCCTATACACTCTTCCACTGAAGAGACACTCATCATTCCTCCACTGAAGAACACTCTATACACTCTACCACTGAAGGACCTCTATACGATTCCTCCACTGAAGAACCTCTATACGTTTCCTCCACGAAGAACCTCTATACATTCCCACCTGAGAACACTCTCATTTCCACCACGAAGAACCTCTATACATTTCCCTCACTGAAAGACACTCTAGCACTCTACCTGAAGGCCTCTATACATTCCTCCAGAAGAACCTCTATACATTCCTCCACTGAAGAACACTCTATACACTCTACCACCAAGAAAGACACTCTATACATTCCACCACCGAAAGAACACTCTTAATTTCCACCACAGAGAATACTCTGTTCCTCCACGAAGAGACACTCTATATTACATTCCTCCACACGAAGAACACTCTACCCATTCCACCACACGAGAGACACTCTACTCCATTCCTCCTGAAAAGAGACACTCTATACACTCTACCACTGAAAGAACCTCTATACACTCTACCACTGAAAGACACTCTATACATTCCTCCACTGAAGAACCTCTATACCTCTACACTGAAGAGGACCTCTTATACATTCTATACTCAGAGAACTCTCTATACATTCCTCCCTTAAGAACCTCTACATTTCCTCCACTGAAGAACCTCCTCCATTCCTCCATAGAACCACTCTACCATTCTACCACTGAAGAACACTCTATACATTCTACCACTGAAACCTCTATACATTCCTTCACTGAAAAACAACTCTATACACTCTACCACGAAAGAACCACTCTATACATTCTACCACTAAAAAGAACTCTATATGTTCTACCACTGAAGAATAACTCTAAACATTTTATCACTGAAGAACTCTATTCTACCACACAGAAGAACACTCTATACATTCCACCACTGAAGAACCTCTATACATTCCTACCACTGAAGAACAACTCTATACATTCCCTCCACTGAAGAACAACTCTATACATTCCTCCACTGAAAAACCTCTAAACACTCCCATGAAGAACAACTCTATCCTCCCTACCACTGAAGAACAACTCTACTCCACTCTACCACTGAAGAACAACTCTATACACTCTACCTGAAAGAACAACTCTATACATCACCACAAAGAAAGAACAACTCTATACATTCCTCCACTGAAGACAACTCTATACATTCCTCACTGAAGAATGACTCTATACATTCCTCCACAAAGAACACTCTATACACTCTACCTGAAAGACACTCTATACATTTCCATCCACTCAGAGAACCTCTATACATTCCTCCACTGAAGAACCTCTGCCTCCTCCACTGAAGAACCTCTATACATTCTCCACTGAAAGACACTCTATACATTCCTCCACTGTTAGACAGCTCTATACATTTCCACACAGTGGAGCCTCCTGCCAAACTTACCACTGAAGAACCTCTATACATTCCACCACTGAAGACACTCCATTCCACTGAAAGAACACTCTACATTCCACTGAAAGAACACTCTATACATTCTACCACTGAAGAACAACTCGATACATTCTACCACTGAAAGACAACTCTATACATTCCTCCACTGAGAACACTCTATGGAATATCCACTGAAGAACCTCTATACATTTCCACCACTGAAAGACACTCTGCCACGTTCCTCCACTGAAGGAACAACTCAATACATTCCTCCACTGAAGAACCTCTAACCTCCACTGAAGAACCTCTCCACCTCTACACTGAAGAACCTCCTATCCTCTACCACTGAAGAACCTCTATACATTTCCCTCCACTGAAGGACCTCCTATATCTTACCACTGAAAGGACCTCTATACATTCCTCCACGAAGAACACTCTATACATTCCTCCACGAAGGGCCTCTATACATTCCACTACCTAGAAGGCCTCTACTCCACTCTACCACTGAAAGGACACTCCTCCATTCTCTATCACTGAAGGACACTCTATACATTCCTCCACGAACACTCTATACATTCCTCCACACAAGAAAACCTCTATCCCATTACACCACCGAAGAACACTCATCCATTACACACGAAGAACACTCTATACATTTCCTCCACTGAAAGAACCTCACCACACTCTACAAGAACACTCTATACATTCCTCCACTGAAGAACCTCTATACATTCCTCCACTGAAAGACACTCCTATGCACTCCTCCCCATGAAAGAACACTCTATACATTCCCTCCACTGAAAGACACTCTGTGCATTCCTCCACTGAGAACACTCTATACATTCCACCACTGAAGAACAACTCTATACATTCCACCACTGAAGAACCTCTGCATCGTTCCACCACTGAAGAACCTCTACTTACGTTTCCACCACTGAAGAACTGCTCTATAATTCCACCACTGAAGACACTCTCATACGTTCCACCCGCACGAAGAACAACTTCGATACGTTCCTGCCACTGAAAGGAACAACTCTATACATTCCTCCACTGAGAACACTCCTATACGTTCCTCCACTGAAAGAACACTCTGCCATTTCCTCACTGAAAGAACACTCCTATACATTCTACCACTGAAGAGAACAACTCAATACATTCCTCCACTGAGAACACTCTATACATTCCATCCACTGGAAGGGACTCTATACACTCTACCACTGAAAGAACACTCTATACACTCTACCCTGAAGAACCTCTATACATTCCTCACTGAAGGACCTCTATACACTCTACCACTGAGAAGGACACTCCTACATTCCTCCACTGAAGAACCTCTGTCATTCCTCCACAAAGAAGGACACTCTATACATTCCACCACTGAAGGACCGCTCTATACACACTCTACCACTGAAGGGACCTCTATGCATTCCTCCACGAGAACCCTCTGCCATTCCTCCACGAGAAAGACACTCTATACATTCCTCCACCCAGAAGAACACTCTATACATTCCACCACGAGAAGGAGACACTCTATACATTTACCACCGAAGAACCTCTATACATTTCCTCCTGGAAGACACTCTACTCACTCTACCACTGAAGAACACTCTATACATTCCTCCACTGAAGAACACTCTATACATTCCACCACCGAAGAACACTCTATACATTCCACCACCCCAGAAGACACTCTATACATTCCCACCACCCCACGAAGAACCTCTAACTACGTTCCTCCACGAGAAGGACCTCTATACACTCTACCACTGGAAGGGACACTCTATGCATTCCTCCACTGAAGAGAACCTCCTATACATTCCTCCACGAAGAACACCATACATTCCTCCACACGAAGAACCTCTACTCCTCTACCACACAGAAGAACCTCTATACATTCCATCCTGAAGAACACTCTATACATTCCTCCGAGAAAGACACTCCTATACATTCCACACTGGAAGGGACCTCTATACACTCTACCACTGAAGAACCTCTATACATTCCTCCACTGAAGAACACTCTACTCCCACTCCTCCACTGAAGAACCTCTATACACTCCTCCACTGAAGGAACACTCTATACATTTCCACCACCTGAAGAACCTCTACCATTCCACCCACTGATGAACAACTCTATACATTCCACCACTAGTGAACCTCACCATTCCACTGAAGAACACTCTATACATTCCACCCACTGAAGAACCTCTATACATTCCACCACTGAAGAACAACAAAGTACATTCTACCACTGAAGAACAACTCTATACATTTCCTCCACTGAAAGAACCTCCCTATACATTCCTCCACTGAAAAGAGAACCTCTATACATTCCACCACTGAAGAACCTCTATCCATTCCTCCACTGAAAGAACAACTCAATACATTTCCTCCACAGAAGAACCTCTATACATTCCTCCACTGAAACACTCTACTACACTCTACCACTGAAGAACACTCTATACACTCTACCACTGAAAGACACTCTATACGTTCCCTCCACTGAAAGGACCTCCTATACACTCTACCGCACAGAGGACACTCTATACATTCCTCCACAAGAAGGGTTCACTCTCATTCCTCCACGAAGGTTCCTCTATACATTCCACCACTGAAAGGACCTCTATACACTCTACCACACTGAAGGACACTCTATACATTCCTCCACCCGAAGAACACTCTATACATTCCCTCCACCGAAGAACACTCTATACATTTCCTCCACGAAACCTCTATCGTTTCCTCCACCGAAGAACACTCTCTCACATTCCTCACAGAAGAACCACTCTATACACTCTACCACTGAAAGAACCTCTACCATTTCCTCCGAAAGACACTCTACCATTCCTCCACTGAAGAACACTCTACCACTCTATCACTGAAGAACCTCTATACACTCCTCACTGAAGAACACTCCTATACCTCCTCCACTGAAAGAACCTCTATACATTTCCTCCACTGAAACACTCTATACATTCTACCGCTGAAGGAACAACTCTATACGTTCCACCATGAAAGACACTCTATACGTTCCACCACTGAAAGACACTCTATACAGCTCACCCTGAAGAACACTCCTATACATTCCACCACTGAAGGAACACTCTATACGTTCTACCACTGAAGAACCTCTATACATTCTACCACTGAAGAACAACTCCTATCATTCCACCACTGAAGGAACAACTCTATACATTCCACCACTGAAGAACACTCTATACATTCCACCACTGAAGAACACTCTATACATTCTACCACCAGAAGAGACAACTCAATACGTTTCCTCCACACACCAGAACTTACTCTATACGTTCCTCCACACAGAGAACACTCTATACACTCTACCACTGAAAGACCTCTATACACTCTACCACTGAAAGACACTCTATACATTCCTCACTGAAGAGACCTCTATACATTCCTCCCACGAAAGAACACTCTATCATTCCACCACCGAAGAACCTCTATACATTCCTCCACGAAGAACCTCTATACACTCTACCCTAGAAGGACCTCTATACATTCCTCCACTGAAGGACCTCTATACACTCTACACTGAAGAACACTCTATACATTCCTCCACGAAGAACCTCTATACATTCCTCACCGAAGAACACTCTATACATTCCTCCACGAAAGACACTATACATTCCATCCACAGAAGAACCTCTCTCCACTCTACCACCGAAAGACACTCTATACATTCACCACTGAAGAACCTCTATGCATTCCCACCACAAGAGTACTCTCTATACATTCCACTGCAGGAACTATATACACTCTGCGAAAAAAACCTCTATACATTCCACCACCGAAGAACCTCTATACATTCCCACCACCGAAGAACACTCTCATTTCCTCCACAGGCACTCCTCATTCCTCCACAAGAACACTCTATACATTCACCACAAAGACACTCTATACATTCCCTCCACTGAAACCTCTATACACTCTATCACTGAAGGCATCTATACACTCTTCCACTGAAGAACCTCTATACATTCCTCCACTGAAGAACCTCTGTCCACTCTACACAGAACACTCTATCGTTCCATACAGAGAACCTCTATACATTTCCACCACCGAAAGAACCTCTATCCATTCCACCACCGAAGAACCTCTATACATTCCACAGAACACTCCTATACATTTCCACCACGAAAGAACCTCTACTCTACACTCTACCACTGAAGGACCTCTATACATTTCCCTCCACTGGAAGGACACTCTATACACTCTACCACTGAAGAACACTCTATCCATTCCCTCCGAAGAACACTCTATACATTTCCTCACGAAGAACCCCACTCCTATACATTCCTCCACGAAGAACCTATACATTCCTCACGAAAGAACACTCTATACACTCACCACTGGAGAACGCTCTATACATTCCACCACACCAAGAGAACCTCTATACATTCCACCACTGAAAGAACACTCTATACGTTCTGCGAAGACCTCTATACACTCTACCACGAACACTCTGTCGTTTCCCCACACGAAGGAATATCTACATTCACCACAGAGAACCTCTATACATTCCACCACAGGACACTCTCTCCCATTCCACCACACAGAAGTTGTCTATACGTTCCTCCACAGAAGAGACACTCTATACATTCCACGAAGAACCTCCTTGTTTCCTCACTGAGCACTCTATACACTCTATCACTGAAGGAACCACTCTCTTATCTTCACATAGAGAACCTCTATGTGTTCCTCACTGAAGAACCTCTATACACTCTACCACTGGAAGGACCTCCTATACATTCCTCCACTGAAGAACCTCCTGCCATTCCTCCACCGAAGACCTCTCGTTCTACCTGAAAACCTCCCCTCATTCCTCCACAGTATCTATTATTCCTCATGAACACTCTCTGCACTCTACCACTGAAGAACCTCCTATACATTCCCCTCCACTAGAACCTCTATACATTTCCTCACTGAAGAGACACTCTATACATCTACCACAAGACACTCTATACATTCCACCCAGAAGAACCTCCATTCTGCAGAGCACTCCTGTCCCATTTTCCTCCACGAAGAACCACTCTATCAGTCTCTGAAGAACACTCTACTCATTCCACCACCAAAGAACCTCTATACATTCCTCCACTGAAAGACCTCTATACACTCTTCTACACTGAGGAGCCTCTATACACTCTACCACTGAAGAACACTCTGTGTTCTCCCTGAAGACATCTATGCTCTACCACTGAAGGGACACTCTATACATTCTACCACAGAGGACCTCTACTCCATTCCTCCACTGAAAGAGCTCTCTATACATTCCTCCACTGAAAAGAGAACACTCTATGCATTTCCACTCCACTTCCAGAACACTCTATACATTCTCTGCTGGAGAGAACACTCTACTTCACATTCTACCACTGAAGAGACACTCTATACGACCATGCTGAAGAACAACTCTATACACTCTACACTGAAGACACTCTATGCGTTCTACGCGAAGACTCTACGTTCTACACACCAGAATAACTCTATACATTTATCACTGAAAGACTCTATTCTACACATAGAGACAACATACATTCCACACTGAAGAGACCTCTATACGTTCTACCACTGAAAGAATATAACTCTATACATTCCTCCACTGAAAGGCAACTCTATACATTCCTCCACTGAAGAACCTCTAAACACTCTACCACTGAAGAACAACTCTACACTCTACACTGAAGATCAACTCTCTCTTACACTCTACCACTGAAGAACAACTCTATACATTCCTCCACTGAAGAACAACTCTGCTCATTCCTCCATAGAGAACTCAACTCTATACATTCCTCCACTGAAGAACCACTCTATCCACTCTCCACAAGAAGGAGACACTCTACCATTCCTCCATAGAAGAGACACTCTATACACACTCTACCACTGAAGAACACTCTATACATTCCTCCACGAAGAACACTCTATACATTCCCGAAGAACACTCTATACGACCACACGAAGAACCTCTATACATTCCTCCACGAAAGGACACTCCTACACTCTACCATAGGACACTCTATACATTCCTCCACTGAAGAACCTCTATGCACTCTACCACTGAAGAACCTCTATACATTCTCACCGAAAGACACTCTATCCATTCCTCCACCGAAGAACCACTCTATACATTCCTCCACGAAGAACACTCTACCATTCATCCATGAAGAACCTCTATACATTTCCTCCACACCGAAAGATTTCTACGAACTATCTTTTGAAGAACCTCTGTACATTCCACCACAGAAAGACACTCTATGCATTCCACCACACGAAGACACTCTACTCCATTACCACAAGAACCTCATACTCCTACCACCGAAGAACCTCCTATACGTTCCTCCACGAAGAACACTCTATACATTCCTCCACCGAAGAACCTCTATACGTTCCTCCACAAAGGGGCCTCTACATTCCTACCGAAGAACCTCTATACATTCCACCACGAAGAACCTCCTTGCATTCCACCACCGAAGACCTCTGCCCATCTACCACTGAAGAACCTCTATACACTCCTTACCAGAGCCTCTACTCTATTCTCACTGAAGAACACTCTACCATGCACTCTACCACTGAAAGGACACTCTATACATTCCTCCACCGGGAGGACACTCTATACATTCCTCCACAGAAGAACCTCTATATACATTCCTCCACCGAAGAACCACTCTATACATTCCACCACCGAAAGACACTCTATACATTCCTCCACTGAAGAATATCCTGTACACTCTACCACTGAACCTCTATACATTTCTATCACTGAAGACATCTCTACATTTCCTCCACTGAGAACCTCCTATACCTCCACGAAGAACCCTCTATACATTCCCTACAAGAACCTCTATACATTCCACCACGAAAAACATCTCTTGTTCCTCCACAGAAGAACACTCTATACATTCCACCACAAGAAGAACACTCTATACATTCCTCCACTGAAGAACACTCTATACCTCTACCACAGAACAAGCTATACACTCTACCACTGAAGAACACTCTATACATTTATCCACTGAAGAACCTCCTATACCTCTACCTGAAGGACCTCTATACATTCCTCCACGAAGAACCACTCTATACATTTCCTCCACGAAAGAACACTCTACCACATTCCTCCACGAAGAACACTCTATACATTCCTCCACCGAAGAACACTCTATACATTCCACCACTGAAGGACCTCTGCACTCTACCACTGAAGAACACTCTATACATTCCCTCCACTGAGAACACTCTATACACTCTACCACTGAAGAACACTCTATACATTCCTCCACACTGAAGAGAACCTCCTCCTCTACCACTGAAAGACACCTCTATTGTTCCTCCACTGAAAGACACTCTATACATTTCCACCACTGAAGGACCTCACTCCAAATTTTCCTCCCACTGAGACCATCTTCCTCACACTGAAGAACCTCTATACACTCCTCCACTGAAAGACACTCTATACATCACACAGAAAGGAGCACTCTATACATTCCTCCACTGAAGGAACCTCTATAGATATCTACAGAAAGAGACATCACCAACACATCTACCACTGAAGGAACCTCTATACGACTCATGAAGAACCTCCATCTACCACTGAAGAGACATCTACCATTCCACCCACCAGAAGAGACCTCTATAAACTATCCACAAAGGAGCCTCTATACGTTTCCACATGAAGAGACATCTATACATTCCTCCACTGAAGGGACCATCCACTTACACTCTACACTGAAGGACCTCTGGGCTCCTCCACAGAAGAGCACTCTATGTATTCCTCCACCGAAGAACACTCTATACATTCCTCCACCGAGAACACTCATAGAATATCACTGAAGAACCTCTGCCATTCCTCACTGAAGAACCTCTACCATCACACAGAAAGACACTCTATACATTTCCTCCACTAGAAGAACACTCTGTGAACTTCCTCATAGAACCATCTCCATACACTCTACACTAGAACCTCCTATACATTCCTCCACTGAAGAACCTCTATACACTCCCTGAACACTCTGTCTTGTTCCCTGCTAAGAAGGGCCCATCTATATACATTTTCCTCACTGAAAGAACCTCTACCTCTACCACTGAAAGACCTCTATACATTCCACAACAGAGGCCTCTCATTCCACGAAAGACACTCTCAGACCACCACTGAAGGGCCTCTGCATTCCTCCACTGAAGGACCTCTATACACACTCCTACCACTGAAGGACCTCTAACCCATTCCTCCACTGAAGAACCTCTACTCCTCTACCACTGAAGGCATATCGTTCCACTCCCTTCAATGAACCTCACCACTCCTACCACTGAAAGACACTCTATACATTCCCACCACGAAGAACCTCTGTAATTCCTCCATGAGGACATCTCCTCTACCACTGAGACCTCTATACATTCCTCCACTGGAAGAACCTCTCCCATTTCCTCCACTGAAGGGCACTCTCTACTCTACCTGAAAAACCTCCTATACATTCTTTTTGAAGAACCATATATACATTCCACCCACTGAAGAACCTCTATACATTTCCTCCACCTGAAGAACCTCTATGCATCATCCCACTGAAAGGACCTCCTATACATTCCTCCACTGAAGAACCTCTGCCACTCTCTCTACAGAAGGACCACTCTTGTTCCTCACTGAGAACACTCTTATCCCATTCCACCTTGAAGGACCTCTACCATTCACCACTGAAAGACACTCTACTTTACTCTGCACTGAAGAACACTCCTATACATTCCTCCACTGAAGAACACTCTATACACTCCACTGAAAGACCTCTATACATTCCACCACCTGAAAGAACCTCCTACATTATCACTGAAGAGACAACTCTGCTCTACCACTGAAGAACCTCTATAACTACACTCAGAGGACCTCTATACATTATCCTCGAAGACCTCTACATTCCACCACCTGAAAGGACTACTCATACATTCTACTGAAGAACACTCTATACACTCTACCACTAGAAGAACACCTGGGTAGTTTCTCAAGTATTTACTGAGTACCAAATTATTATTCACACATGAAGTTAGAAGATTTCATTCTGACATTTCGCGTGAAATCATACTGCAGATCTGCAAAGAGATCTCTGTCTAATTATTTTCTCTTACCTCAAGCTAACATCCTCATTGACATTACAAAGTGGAAATCCTGAACTTTCCTAGCCAATCAAATTTAAGGCCATCTTCTATCTCTGTACGTTCAGTAACGGTGGTACTCTATTCTACCATTTTAGCCCTGTCACATGTAAGCAATAAACTGCTACAAGGACAAAAGTCAATCTTATATAAATCCTAAGCTGCCGCTAGATATCATTTACATTTCAAGGCTCAGATCACCCAACATCCATAAAGAAAAGCTTTTCTGATCCTTCGCAGACCAGCTCATTTCACCTTATTCATGAAATCACTCCTGATCTTGCAAGTGAAATCTCTAAAGTCCTATAATACTATTTGAATTTTCTCTTATGACATTTTTCTCATTTTTACCTTTTCCATCTTATCTCTAATACTGGAAATTAATTCCTTGGAAATGAAGACTATGTCTTTATATAACCCTAGGACCAAATCGAGTTAGAGTATCTATCAAGTATTAACACTGGAAATATATTAATGTTAAATATTTGATAAACATTAATTAATGAATATATTTCTGGCTTCTAGACTCTCAGCAGTTATTTTAAAACAAAGAATACAAAAACAAGAAACCGATAATGCAAAAAATACACAGTATGTTCAATAGCACATTTATAAAGAATATTTGGGCGGGCTGATGGCGTCTCCTGTAATCCCAGCACTCTGGGTGGCAGGACAGGAGGTCAAGACAGATGGATCTTTCCTGAGGTTGGGGTTCAGGACCAGCCTGAACACTATGGAGAAATTGTCTCTCCCAAAATACAAATTAGCTGGGCATGGTGGCGCATGCCTGTAATCCCAGCTACTTGGGAAGCTGAGGCAGGAGAATCGCTTGAATCTGGGAGGTGGAGGCTGCAGTGAGCCAAGATCGTGCCATTGCACTCCAGGCTGAGCAACAAGGCGAAACTCCATCTCAAAAGAAAAAGTATAAATATAAATCCTGGAATAACTAATTTGCTACAGTTAAAATACCTGTCATGAATTCCTCCCTTAAGGTTCAACTATTCAAAAATTGTACAGATGAATAGTTTCTTTTTGGGTAATCTCAGTTATATATACTTTTCTTTAAGAATGAGTCTGTGCTGGAGTCTTGTGGTGCCGCCGGCTCACTGTGGCGCCGGTCTCCTGGGCTCCATTCATCTTCCTCAGCCTCCCAAGTGGCTGGGATGAAGGAGGTTCAGGCTACCACCTGGCTAATTTTTAAAAATTTTGTAGAGACAGGGTCTCCCTGTATTGCCCAAGCTGGTCTCAGATTCCTGGATTCAATGATCTTCCAAAGTTCTGGGATTACAGGCATGAACCACTGTGCTAGGCTTCAGTTATACATATTTTGAGGATATTACAATGGGATATTGGCTGTATACAGAATTATGTTCAACCTGGAGATTATTTTTATGTTTTTCAGCATGATAAAATCAATTTTGGGAAGTTAGTTTATCAAACATGTTTTTACATATCTGAAAAGGTTTAGTTCTTTTAAATAGAACAAAGATTTATTCTAAAATTCTGATATTGCTGATAAAGTTAATAGACCATATGTATTAAAGTGTTCAATTCTGGCCTACAATCAGGATGATTTATAAATAATATACATTACAAAATGGTTATATATCTATAATAACAATATATAATGGTTATAAATAACACCAAATATAAATAAATAAACTTCAGATTCTCAAAAATAACTAAATGCTTCATAGAGTTCCACATTATATCTAAAGCATTCAATTCTGAGTGTCACTTTGGAAGATTCAACAAATCCTAAAGTTCTTGGATGATAAGACAAAGGAGTCTGAAAGTCATTTTCTCACTTAGAAATGTAATAGTAATTCTCCACATAATTAAAAGAGTTCTCATATATACAAAGGAATTTGCTTTCTATACTTTCCTGAAGTGCCAGGCATGCTTCAATTCAAGTTGAGGCCAAGCACAGTGGCTCATGCTTGTAGTGTAGTAAGCTCTTTATGAATATATTTAAGCTGGAGTTATTAGTCATCCATTAGGCAGACTATTAAAGGAACATCTCACTTGGATGGAATGGAAGCTCATGATTTATAAGATCTTTTGCAATTCTAAACTCTGAATATAATTTAGACTATGTATAAACTGAAGTGACTTTTAAATGACTTAAATGTTTTGAAGCAGTATTGCTTTCTTGAAGGCTACTAGAGGGGAATTTTTACCAGGTTTTAGATCTGACAAACACCTGATCATAGAGAACAGAGAAACACAAAGAGTACTGGTGCATTTCCTCCACACTGAGCAGACTAAAGACAGTACACTATGAATACACAAATAACAGCTTCTCATTAAAGCTTGTACCAAACTTACGAAGATTCTGCTGGATTACAGTAAATACTCTCATCTGGTTCTGGCTCACTTTGCTGGAAAGTCTTCTGTTAGTCTTGAAAATTCTGCTTCTTCCTTCTTCGATTCAACTTGATGATATCATCTATGATAGAGGAAATGCCAATTATTTTCATTTAACTGAATTATAGTTTCATTTTCCAGCTGATGATTTCCTATGTTCCTAACTTCTCTTCTATTTTGAAAGCACTTGTAAGGATATGTAAGAATCAGCCATTTTCTGTGCTTCCCAAGCAGATCTGCAATTAATGAAAAGAGTGCTGTGTATAGTATTTCTTTACACAGTGAATCTAAGCCAGAAACATTTACAAGTTATTTCTACTACTTTCCATAATAACAAGCCTCCATTTTAAAGATAGCCCCCTTCTGGCCGGGCACAGTGGCTCACGCCTATAATCCCAGCACTTTGGGAGGATGAGGTGGGAGGATCATCTGAGGTCAGGAGTTCGGGACTGGCCTGACCAACATGGTGAAACCCTGTCTCTACTAAAAATACAAAAAAAAAAAAATGACCAGGTATGGTGGTATGCGCCTATAATCCCAGCTACTCGGGAGGCTGAGGCAGGAGGGTGGTTGAACTCGGGAGGCGGAGGTTGCAGTGAGCCAAGATTGCACCACTGCACTCCAGCCTGGGTGACGGAGGGAGACTCCATCAAAAAAAGAAGGAAAAAGATGGCCACCTTCAATGAGTAATCAAAATTAAACCATTCAACTAAAATACTAAATGCACAAATTCAGCCAGTATTTAGTAGACATATACTACATGCAGTGAATATATGTGTCA